AGGTATCGCTCGAGTACGAGAATATATATATATATATATATATATATATAATCAATTAATGAAGCACATCATGTTAAGCTTTTTTCCCCCAGTATATTTCGAAAGTATAACCATATGAAAAAGTAGTCCCTCCTCAAAAGGACAATTTTACACCTCAAATTAAAAATAAAAAAAATTAATGGAAAGATTAATCCAAATGCTAAATATGAATTAGGCTTCAATTGTGAGTGCATTACTGTAAACACATTTTCTGTTCTTTTTTGCAAGCTAAGAAACTAAATAATTCAGTGAAGAATCAAAGTAATTGTCTGTAGTAATCAATACATATTATGTTATTAATAGCCCAGAACTTTCATTTCAAGATAGAACTGATCATGAGAGTGAGATGATTATTAAGATGATTATAGTATACTAAATCAGTTTAGTATGATAAATAATTTAAAGTGACGTGTAGCCATGTATGGTGTCCCATACTCTGAATTTGAGTAGAGTAGTGAACACACACACACTGTGAACACACACCCGGAGCAGTGGGCAGCCATGTGCTGCAGCGTCCAGGGAGCAGTTGAGGGTTCGGTGCCTTGCTCAAGGTCTCACCTCCGTCGTGGTATTGAGGGTGGAAGAGAGCGCTGTACATTCACCTCCCACCTGCTGGTACTGAGACTCAAACCCACAACCTTTGGGTTGCAAGTCTGACTCTCTAACCATTAGGCTACGACTGCCTAATTTATGTATGCATACATAATAATCTGAGCACCAGAACGGCCAGACATGAGTATAGTTTCTTCCCTCAGGCAATCCATCTCATGAACAGTTAACTTTGCAATAAACATGTAATACTCAACACTACTTATACATTTATTAATTTAACACACATACCTCTTTTTACATTTCCTTGCATTTGTACATAACACACCTGTACACACAAATACCATCTATTGTCTACTTTGTATATTGTGTTTTTTTTTCCATCTTGTCACTGTCATTCTGTTTGTGCTGTGGAAGCTTCTGACACCAAAACAAATTCCTCGTATGTGTAAACATACCTGGCAATAAAGCTCTTTCTGATTCGGATCATTTATGTATGCATTGGACTTAATACTACAATTTTGTCATTCTCAGGCAGTTGCAATGGTTTGTGGGTTCATGGTTGTGGTGGCACTGGCTGTGGCGGCCTTCTTCTCCTATAGGACCAGAAGTAAAATCAGGCACTACGGGAAACCAAACATCTACTGGGATGGACCACTAATGGGAGGACCCGAGGGCAGAGATGTGGAGGATTGGGTGAGTTTCTTTATCACCTCTTAGTGCATGGAGGAAGAAACACATGGTCACTAATTGAGTGACACACCCAGATCAAAATGGCATGAAGTGTTTTGCCTAAGTATCAGGCTTATTGCTAGTCTTTGCAGCAAACAGCTGCAACACAAATGCCCATGCATTTAATTGTCCAAGTTATATATATAGGCTCTAGTAGCATCCCAGCAACCGTCCATGGGACAAGCAGTTTAATTCTTCTAAATAGTTTGTGATAGTCAATCTAGACATTTTGTTTTGGTAGACTGGGAGCGGCTTGAAAGTGTGTTTTGAAGTCATATATCCTTTAATAGTTTCAGTGGCCTGTGCGACACTGGTGATAATTCAGTCACAAGGTTAAATGTGTTGCTGATACGGTCTGTTTGTTAACAGCCGGCCTAGTTTCGCTGTGATTGATCATTAACCAAACTGAGAAAGTCAAGTGGCTTTTAACTCCTTGGGTGGATGACTATGAACGACTAAACTGGCGGCCTTCTTCTCCTATAGGACCAGAAGTAAAATCAGGCACTACGGGAAACCAAACATCTACTGGGATGGACCACTAATGGGAGGACCCGAGGGCAGAGATGTGGAGGATTGGGTGAGTTTCTTTATCACCTCTTAGTGCATGGAGGAAGAAACACATGGTCACTAATTGAGTGACACACCCAGATCAAAATGGCATGAAGTGTTTTGCCTAAGTATCAGGCTTATTGCTAGTCTTTGCAGCAAACAGCTGCAACACAAATGCCCATGCATTTAATTGTCCAAGTTATATATATAGGCTCTAGTAGCATCCCAGGAACCGTCCATGGGACAAGCAGTTTAATTCTTCTAAATAGTTTGTGATAGTCAATCTAGACATTTTGTTTTGGTAGACTGGGAGCGGCTTGAAAGTGTGTTTTGAAGTCATATATCCTTTAATAGTTTCAGTGGCCTGTGCGACACTGGTGATAATTCAGTCACAAGGTTAAATGTGTTGCTGATACGGTCTGTTTGTTAACAGCCGGCCTAGTTTCGCTGTGATTGATCATTAACCAAACTGAGAAAGTCAAGTGGCTTTTAACTCCTTGGGTGGATGACTATGAACGACTAAACTTTTGTAATACCAAGACAGTTAGAAAGCATACTTGAATTATCATTTTTTTTACAGTTCAAAGAATAAATTAAGTGTTTAGGTATAAACACATTTCTTAGAAGTATTTTTCAATGGCTGAGACAGATGTAAGTGTATATTAATGATTATTATATGTATATTTAAAGAGTTATATATTTCAATAATTGACTTAAAGGGACAGGAAAATACATTTACAGTCTTAAAATATGTTTTGGCTCAATGCCAAATATGTATTGTATGTACAATATGAATATAATTTTAGGAAATATATTTCTCATATTGAAAATATATTTAGTTTAAACTTTCAAATGCCAAATATATTATTATATTATTAAACCTTCAAATAAATTACAAAACGTACTTTTGGGTAAATGCAAAATGTTTTTAATATAGTTTGTACAATATAAATATATAGGTAGAAAACTAGAAAAAAATATTAAAATATGTTAAAATGGTTAAAAATAATGAAGAGAAAATATAAGTTACTAAAAATTCATCAAAAATATATTTTTGTATTTTATCTATTTTAGCAATACTTTTTGGGACATATTTTAAATCTGAATATATATTTTTGCCATATGGGATTAGACACAAAACATCTGAATTTAGATGAATATTTATTTACACATTATGTACTGAAAATGTGACAAAACTGTCAGTACATTCTGGGACTGAAAAAACTGTTCATCAGCCATGTAGGTATTGTTATAATCTAATGCTGATTGTTTTAAAAATAGCCAGATATCAGCCAATTTATCATCTTAGCTAGTATAGTAATCACTGTCTGTTCCCATTGCATTTATGGTTTTATTTTTATTACAGAACAGTGTGTTTAAGTGATACAGTACATAAGTGCTATGGAAGAGAACAGGAGTCATGTTGTGTGTGTGTGTGTGTGTGTGTGTGTGTGTGCGTGTGTGCATCACTCAGTACTATTGCATTATTGTGAGTCTTTCTTATTTAAAAAAGAGAAGCAATTCAAGTGATTGCACAAGCAATTCAAGCAATAAAGGTTATTCAAGAAACAGACAGTTTGTAATAAAAAGATCAAGGGAACTTTAATTTAAATATCATCAATTGAAATAAAGTCAGATGACTGTGCGTCTCCTCATAACAAAGAAAAATAACAGATGAGATATCTTTATTATCTTAAAGGCGCATCATATGACCCCTTTAATTGTTTTTCCTAGACAGATATACTAAGATTAAATGAGAACAAATTGGGACCAGCATTTCAGAAGAGATCAAACACTGCTCAGATTTACTAAGATACCAAAGTCTGCAATCAAAAGTCAACTCAAACATCACATTTTTTCCAAAATCATTCATAACTCTATAGCTCTGTACTCTTAATGTGTTACAATTGTTTCTATTTTTAATTCTAGGAATTTTAGAAGACATGTCTGAGACGAGGTTGATAATTAAATAAGCTTTAAACTGAGAATCCTGATAAAAATGAGCAACATCTTGTAAATCTTTCGTCCGGGTCTACAGGTTGTTAATGAACCCATAGCTGGTGGTGAAGGCTCCGTTGGGGTGGGGTTTGATTTTGGATTAAGTCCACTGGAAACATAATTACTACCATCATGAGACTGGTCTGCCTCTCTCTGCCCTGGTGCTTTCAGTAAATCTATGAGCTCTGACAGCGTTCCAAACATTCCCTTTAAGAACATTTCATTCCTTGCCTTTCTATCTCTCCTTCTCATTTGTCTGGTGCAAAAGGAGGTCACGAGCATGAAACGTCCCTCTTTTCTGTGTTCTCAAGCATTCTTTCCCTGCTTATGTAGCGTGATCATGGATCAGTGGTGGCAGTAGCTCATGCAGGGAAAGCATTGTTGGAATTCCTGGATGATTTGGGCTCTTCTACACAGTGGCTTTTCCCCTTCTCCCCAGCTGCAGGGAAACGCTCCTCCACCCTCTTTCCTGCTGCGTCCTCCCTTCTAACACACACACACACACATACCTTCACGCAAAACCCCTTCAGAACAAAACAAATAATTCCGCTGACACGCACACCTGACTTCATTGTTTTAGCATTGTACTGCTCGGAATTGTTTTCCTTATGGTTTTTACTTATATCCATACAGCCACTACTTCTTTCACCTTTTTGCTTTAGAAAAAAAGTATTATAAGTCATATATTGTGCCAGAAATCTAAACTATTGGCATTGTGTGTTTGTCACAAAACATGCTTACATGCTGAGAACATCCTCTGAAATCAAACTTCAACAGGAAGAGCAAGACCACTTTTGCTTCTTATTCCCTGCGGTCTTTCCTGTACAGTAGCAGAAGGAAGATAAAGTCTAAACAATGGATCTAAAATGGTTTCTGTGTTGGTATAATGTTCTGTACACAATGCAATTTCGAAAGTCTGCGATCAAGACAGATTTATGATGTTGTTAATAGTGTATTGTTTGTGCATTATAGTAATATACATAACATACTTACAGTCAGGCATAAGCTTTTACAAGTAAAACGTATCTGTTATTTTTTATGTTATATTAAGTCACTTTTCCAAACAGATTTTTAACATTTTATTTTTCAGATTTACACTGCTGATCAAAAGTTTTTAAAGAAAATGTATGTGACAAAAAAAAATCTGTTTCAAATTAATGTTATTTTAAACTTTCTATTTGTCAAAGAATCCTAAAAAACGCATTGCTTTGCACACAAGTATTATATGCTCTTCAACACTGATAATAAGAAGAAATGTCTGAGCACCAAATCAGCATATTAGAATGATTTCTGAAGGGTCATGTGACACTGCAGACTGAAAATAAAGCTTTGTCATCACAGGAATAAATTACAATTTGAAATTATTAAAACAGAATAATAATATTAATATATAATAATAGTTATAATAATATTTCACAATATTGCTGTTTCTACAGCATTTTTCATCAAATTAATGAAGCCGTGGTGAGCTTCTTTCAAAAACATTTTTAAAATCTTACCAAGCCAACCTTTTGAATGGTATTGTATGCTTAAATACAGCACCTGCAGAAAAACAGATTGTTGAGTGATAAAGAGTGTGAAGCCATTATGATTACACATTTATTTCACATTACATTTATTATTACTGCGTATAACTGCATTGTGTATCAATCAATGCAATACAAAAGTTTCCTCAAGGCCTGGCAGCAAAAAAGAACAGTTTTTGTCCAAAGATCACAGATAGTGAGGAATATGGTCATGAAAAACTAAAATATGTTGATTTTTGCTAACATTATAAGCAGACCTGAGGGAATTATTTAAATGATACAATAATGTAAGACCCTTAAAGATGCTACTGTTCATCAAACAAAAGAGACTTAACCATTTCAAATTCATGTTCAAATATCTGTTATCTGCTTTTAGTTCTTCTCACTTGCTTGCTTTATTGTTTGTGATGACTTTTCGCCTTTCATTATCTGAAATATGTTGCTTCCTGATGTTTTGCACGTCATGCTCTCTGTTCAGATATGAATCAATGTTTGCAGACTTTGTACTAAACAGTTTGTTCCTTTTTCAGGTCAACCATGTACAGGATGGACAGAGCGTGCAGGAGGCATCCATGGTGTTTTCAGAGAAGATGGCTCCTGTTCTGGCTTCGGCCCCCAGTGTCGGCTCCATCCCCCTAAAGACTGGCAGTTTCTTTAGCTCTGAGTCCCACAATGTTATCGGGTGAGTGAGTGAGTGATCCGACCCTGGGATAGCTGGAAACAGGAGCTCAAATATTGCATGTCCCTGCTAAGGAAATGCTGGAGCTTACTTTATTGCTTAAGGCCTTAATAAGTCATTCCAGTTTTACATACTGTACACTACTGGTCAAAAGTTTGGGGTCTTTTATGCTGACCAACAATGCATTTATTTGATCAAAAATAGAGTAAAAACCTATTTTGAAATATTTTTACAATTTATTACTACAGTCTTCATTGTCACATGATCTTTTAAAAATCATTCTAATATGCTGATTTGGTGCTCAAGAAACATTTATTATTATCATTGTCAATGTTTTTTTTCTGCATTTATTTGAAAAAGAAAGTTTCTGAATAATATAAAGCTCTTTATTGTCACTTTTGACAATACACTTTTGACAGTTTAATGCATCCTTGCTAAATAAATATATTAATTTTTTGTAAAAATTTTAAAGACCCCAATTTTTTGATGGCATTGTATAGTTACTCCTGGTTCAAACTAGTCAGTGGCATTTTTTTTTTTTTTTTTTTTTTTCTGATGTTAAATCATCAGTGCTACTGTGCTTTCAATAGTTGTCTGGGTCATTGATCTGCCTAATGGTCTAGCCATTAGTTTCATGAAGTCAGGTCAGATTACACCAAATATGATGTGTCTTGGCATGAGATCAAACTTTCTGCATTTTTTTAATCGGATGTTCTTTCATTATAATTTGTTTTTAAAGGGGTCATATGATGCTGCTAAAAAGAACATTATTTTGTGTATTTGGTTCTGTCCCTCCTTGTCCCTTGTCCTGTTCCATAGACATTGTTGGCATTTCAGAAATTAAAAAAAGAGTATTCTGTAATTTGACCTAACATGTTTATTGGAAAACACAAAAACATTACAATGAAGGACAATGAAGAAAACATATGGCTTATTAACAGTGAAATGTGAGACACCAACTTGTGAGGACATTTGAAGCAAATTACATTTTCTCTTATTTCTGTCAATGCTATGTTTAAGAACAGTGTTTAGTAGCCTAAATATCATTATCTCAGCTATAAAAGCATTGTACTTATGAAGCGTCCTCACAAATATTACTTCTAATATGCATTTTCTCATTCAGTTCATTAATTTTCCTACAATAACTGCACAGTCTTGAACCTATGGAACTTTATTTCCACCACGGAATAAAAAAATGTAAAATCTCAGTTTATATCTCACAATTCAGACTTTTTTTTTTCAGAATTGCGAGACATAAAATCAGAATTGCAAGAAAAAGTCAATTGCGAGGTTTTTTTTCTTAGAATTGTGAGTGTACATCTCACAATTCAGATTTTTTTTTCTTAGAATTCTTAGATACCAAAAAGACAGAAAAGAAATTTGGATTCCGAGATGTAAACTCGGAATTCTGAGAAGAAAAAAAAGACAGTATTGCGAGATTCATACTCACAATTGTGAGAAAAAAAGTCTGAATTGTGAGGTAAAAACTCGCAATTCGTTTTTTAATCTTTTTATTCAGTGGCAGAAATAAGCTTCCATATAAACCATTTCTCTTTTTGGATAAAGTAGTAACAATTTTTACACCCACAGTTACCCTGAGCGCTCTTTTAGCCGCCCATCTCACTCCACATCCCCGTCTGGAGAAGTGAGCTCCAGCCCCTCCGACCAGACAGACACCATCCACAAACCGTCTGCCTCCAGGGGCAAGAGGCGCAGGAGGAACCCTGAGCTGGACGAGTCCCAGTACGAAACCGAGTACACAACGGGAGGAGAGACTGCCAATGATTTTGACGAAGATCTATGGACACGGTGAGGATTTGTTGTGGTTCAGGCTCAGGGTTAGTAGCGCACTCCTAATTTTTTTTGGGAGATAATCGTCTCTGGAAGGCATGTCTACATGCTAACATAATAGACTAAATTTGGGTTAATGTGTCAAAGGTCTTTGCATATGTATGCATGTTTATATGTGTTGTTTGGTGTGATGAGTTAAAAAACAGATGTGGTTTCACTCATTGTTGGACCACGAGAAGAAAATCAGGCCTCATTTGTTAACATTACTGCATTAACTAACATGAACTAACAATGAACGATATATTTTTAGAGTATTCATTAACTTTTGGTAAAGTTAGTTATACTTGTAATGTTAAAATACTTGTATTCACTGCATTATGGCTAAATATTCTCACTATTTTGCTGTTTTTTGACACAAATGAAAAATACTGGGTTGAAAGTTTGAGTGGCCACTTAGTAACAAGTTGACCTTAATAAAGAGTTAAGGCATGGTCACATTAGCAAAATTTCAGTGTATGCTGGTACATATTTCACATTAGGGAATTACTCCAAATAGTGGTATTTTACATTAGCAAAAATTTGGCAAATGGAATTATTTCACACAAGTGAATTTTTTGGTAAATAGTAGTATTTCACATTAGTAAAATTTCTGTGAATGATAGTATTTCACGTCAGCAAAATTTCTGCAAATGGTTGCATTTTACTTTAGCAAATGTCTTGGAAAATAGTAGTATCTCACATTGAAATTTCTGCAAATGGTTGTATTTCACATTAGAAAATTTCTTGGTGAATTGTAGTTGTTCACATTAGAGAAATTTGCTAAACTTTTCACATTTGCAAAATTTTGGCAAATGGTTGCAATAGTGAATGGTAGTATTTTCACTTTTTTCACTTTATTGAAATTTTTGTGAATGGTAGTATTTCATATCAATGAAATTTTGGTGTGCCATGGCATTTCAAATTAGTAAAATTTTGGCGAATGGTAGTATTTCACATTAACAAAATTTTATGAATGGTGGTATTTCAAATGAGCACAATTCTAAATACCACAGACCATTTTCAAACCAAGCAGCTTTTTGTTTGTCAACACGGCAAATTTGCATGACCATCTTGAACTAACTTGAAATCTGCATTTGGAATATTTATGCCCTCACTGATTGTGCGTATTCCTATTCAAATGACTGGATTTTGCTGGTGAATTTTCATGTGTGCACCTTTACTCGGTTCACTCCAGAGGGATCGTTGCTAAAAAGTGTTTCTGTCTATCCGTTTCTTTGGAAAAAAAGTTTATTAAATAACCACTAAATGACTATTGATCTCATTTATCTTAAAGCTGAAAATACAAGTTGCCATCCATATTGGCAGAAAGGAGCATCACAACAACTGCTTTCTGTTTCATTCCCAATCAGTCTATATCCAGAGATCACATCTGATGCCCAGCGACACGAGTATAAGAAAGAGTTTGACTCGGACCTCAGGACCTATAAGGAACTGTGTGCCGAAATGGATGACATCAACGATCAGATAAACAAACTCAGCAGAGAGCTGGACACACTTGAAGAGGGCACGTCCAAGTACCAGGTGAGTGACTGAAACATTTCAGATAACTACTTCACCTCCCTGTTGTTCACATCCATATGACTTTCTTTTTTATCTCACATTACAGGCTGTAGCCGAGGAATATAATCGTCTCAAAGACCTAAAACGGGTGAGTCATGGTGATAAAACTGAAGTATGACTAAACATCTGACTCATGTTCATAGTAATAGATGCTCTGCTTTTTTTGATGCTAATATGAGGCTTTCCTTCCCTTATTCTCTCTATTTAGATGGCAGATTATCAAAACAAGAAGCACCAATGTTGCAAACTGCGCCACAAGCTTTTCCATATGAAACGAATGGTTAAGATCTACGACCGCCGTCAGTAATAATGAGCTCCATTAAACCACCACACCTGCTCTCCTTGTTAAACACTTCTGCATTTAACTGACAAAGCCTTCAAATGACTGTGTGACCAAAGTTGCCCGAAACTGCTGTAACCATGGCTTCACCCAGTGCTTATGATTAACCTGAGCCCTAAAGATGATTGGAAACAAGGACCAGAGATTCCGAAAACCGGTCCTTCCAAAGTCTTTCCATTACCTGGAACTTGTTCTTTCACTGGAAACATCTGCCTTTTTTTAGAGTGAGTGACTTCATATAGCCTGTAAAATGCCATAAAGCATAAAAATATTGTTGTTCTGTTTTTTTGTTGGGTGCGGTTGTGAGTGCTAACTTCAAGGTCAGCTGATTACAGCGGTGCATGTGTTTGTTGGAGGAAATGTACTTTAGACAGTCCTCTCCAACTGAGTAATTTGCACCTGCATTGGCATCTACGCAGTCAGTTTCCTTGTGTATTACTGTAAATGAGTTGTGTGTTTTATTGTCTGTAAAGGTGTAACTGTGGGGCACTGCTTGTTTTCAAGTCAGAAAACATAAAAGATTTTGTTTCGAGGTGTGCTAGAATAGTTCCCAGAAACAACTGAGGTATTTAGTTGAGCAGTTGTGTCCTAATGGTTAGAGAGTCGGACTTGTAACCCAAAGGTTGCGGGTTCGAGTCTCGGTACTGGCAGGGATTGTAGGTGGGGGTGAGTGAATGACCACGACTGAGGTGAGATCCTTGAGCAAGGCACCGAACCCCCAACTGCTCCCCGGGTGCCACAGCAAAAATGGCTGCCCACTGCTCTGAGTGTGTGTTCACGGTGTGTGCTGTGTGTGTGCACTTCGATGGGTTAAATGTAGAGGACAAATTCCAAGTATGGGACACCCTACTTGGCCACATATCACATCACATCACTCACTCATTTAAACATGCAGACCATTACAGAATATTCTCTTTTTTAACAACTGACTGCCTCAGAAAAAGAAGAAATGGAATTTTAAATCACAAAGATATTTGATATTCTTTGTATATATTCAATTTCATATTCAATTGTGATTTTAAAATCGAGTTTGGAAAAAAAAACTAAACCTTACTAATGGTGCACTATGTAAATACGCAAATTTGCAAGGGTTCTGTTCATTTCGTGCTAAATGTTTATATCTCATTGCATTTGATTCATTTCGAAATGTGATTTTCACACTATTTAAAACAATAATAGCTGCTTTTATCTCTAACTAATCAAATATCTATGCAAGATCAAATATTGAAGTTCTGTTTGTTTTGTAATGTTGTTATGGACAACAAGTAAGTTTTGTTCCGTTTTTTTACTCATGTAAAATATTTTGTACGAAAACATTTAAAGTGGTACAAGGCGTCAATTTTCGGCTGTTAATGAGATAATGCTGTTTGTTTTTCTCACGTGCATAACAGCATTTATTTTCATCTGTACATATTTGTTGCCCTTTCTATTTTCAATAAAGTTTTGTATTTTAAATTTTACATCTGTTTTTAAAAGTATAGCTAAGGCTGTAGTAAAGCGTATTTAGAGGGTAAAGTTTGGTTTTCTTTTATTAATACAGAACAGAAAGAAATGTAGTGGTTACAATTGAATGTAAGTAAATTGAATTTAAATAAATTACATTTGAATTTAAATAAATTGAATATTAATGTCTTATATGAGATCATGTATGTATTTACTATAATAAATCAAATACATTTTTCGGTTTACGACAGTAGAGATTTAAGTAGAGTAAACGGAGTAAAAAAGGTTAGACAATAGCACCCTCTGCTGGATGTCTTTTAAATAACAAGGCAAGGAGAAGAACTCGTCCACTTTCGGTAATGTCACGGAAACATACGATAAGTCTTTCGGTCTCGTTCGGGAACGTTACGGAAATACACGATCGGTAATCACTCCGCGACAAAAGGCTAATAACTAAATTACCAAGACGTGTGAACGCCGATTGGTCACCACGAGATTCACCACACTCCTGTCCTGACTGCTGAGGCGAGGGCATTCACTGAACCAGCAACGACATTCACAAGCATCAAATGAGGTTGTGATGTAGAAAAACTTTCTGAGGATATTTCGAAAGGTTAAACAGAAAGGTACGTGACTTACATCTTAGTAAACTTTATATTCTGTCATTGGCAGCGGTGCACCTGCTATATTTAATGACTGTTGGATATGCGCACACCTGCGAAGCCTAATATTATGACTGCATTGCGCTTCTCTGAGTTTGGAGTGTATTATGGCGTCTTCATTCATCATCTGCTTTTTTGTCATCTGGAATAACGCACATTCTGCATAAACCTAACGGAAGTATAAGTAGGCTATATTATTTGGGTTTTCTAAATGATAGGTTTTCTAAATGCTCTGATAAGGATATTTAAATGGCCATATTAACTATGAGTTTATTATTATTATTATTATTATTAATATTCATTATTTGTATTAATAAAATGCAAATACGTGATATTCTTATTTTAATGACAACGAAGGATTCTGTCTTCAGCAGCTTTTTAAAACTACATCCAACACCACCTACTCACTCTTGCTCAAAAATACACACAGGTCTGTACTGGTTTAATTCGCTTAAAGGATCAGTGTATGGCAAGCCGTCTTAACATTTAATCTATAAGCCGTACTAGTATCTATTTTCATGGTACTAGTATCTATTTTTTAGATACTAGTATCTAAAAAATAGATACTAGTACCTTGAAAATAGATACTAGTATGGCTTATAGATTAAATGTTACAAGGGCTTTCCATAATCAGTGTGGTTTCGAGAGATCTCGTTCACGTGGTTTGTGTGTGGGAATCTGTCAGGAGCTGTTTAATCTGTCCCTGTTCCCGACCTGACACGTGGCGTGACAATGCCAACACTCTGCCAGGCTGAAAACAACAAGTGTAAAACTTATATAAAAAAAAATAAAACTTTACCGATAGATGGAGTGGCTGCTAATGCGTCTTAGTGGTTGCTAGGGTGTTGCTATGCAGTTTAGTGAGTGTTCCGGTTGTTTCTAGGGTGCTGTTGATGTCTTTTAGGGTACAAAGCAAAAATAAATGTATTGTTTATTTAAATATTTATATTTAAAACTGTCAAATGATATGGTGATATTGAATTGATCCTATTTGATTTTCAATTCTGTTATATAAAAAAATAAAGCTTATTAGGTCAATACAGGACAAAGGTCTGATCCAAGTTTGGTGGATGTAACTCTAGTCTGACAGTTTTTTCTTTTCTTTTATTTTTCTTTAGAATAATAAGCTTAAACACACCACCAGTTTTTCTAGCCACTAAAATAAATAAAGTTACCTTGTGCACATACTTTACTTCAAGGTATTGCTGATCAGTAATGAAGTCAGTGTTATGGGGTTTGTGATCTATATGGCAGTGCATTTTTCTCAGTGCACCATGTAAATGTGCAAACTTTTGTCTCCTTCATTAGTCATGTTCATTCATCTAAGTCAGCAGTTTTATTTGATCATAAATGGATAAAAGTGAGCTAATTAAGAGCCTAAGTAAAACATATTGCACACCAGAGGAACATGATTGGGCACATAATTTAGTTCAGAGTATAGCGGATCATTAATAAAAGCTTATCAGAGTCCAGTCATGTTCATTCAATCAACAAGTAGTTAATCATAAAAAAATGTGAGTAAGCTGAAGTAGTTTATTTGGTGACATTGCACTGCTGTGCCAAACAGAAAACAAGTGTGTGTGTGCACACCAAACTAACATAAAATTAAGGAATTTACATATTTCATAGTGTTGTATGCGTGGTTTCCTAGGGATTTGTGACATACAGTGTCAATCCATTTTTATCAGTGCATAATGTAAATGTACAAATGTATTTATAGGAGACCCACTGTTTTCTGTCTTTCTTGTCTAAAAACAGAAAATAAACTACAGTTAATCTGAAAAATGCATGCAATACTACAATGGAAACCTGGGATTAAAATCGAATTGAAATCTGGAACTAAACAGGAAGACTAAGGTGTAATACAAGACTTCTTCGCCTTACAAATAGTTGTCAAAAGCAAAAATGCTACAAAATGCACACATTTGTTGAAAAAAGTGTGGAAAAAAATGTGCATTGCATGTTCGTTTTTTTCCCTTTCAAATTGATTTTTTTTTTTTTAATCTCAAATTGTCATGATGATAATTTAATTTGTAATTTAAAATGTTTCATTAAATTAGAAAAAATGTGAAATGGAAGCTATTTCACTGGTGGTCTCAGACATTTGGGCTATGTTGTATGTATATTGTAAGCTGCTTTTTAACATGTTCGCATTGGTGTGTGAAGATTTGGGACTGGAATAAGGAATCGACTGAGTGTCGCGGTGCTCTGGCAGGTTGTGTGGGTGTGCTGGAGAAACGCTGAGAAGACGTGCTGATTCAGCACAATTACATCCCACTCTGTCCCCTAGCGTCCACTAAAAGTGCTCTCGCTGCTTCCTTGGGTCTCTCTGGACCTGTACCCACTGTCGTAACGAGCCAATCGGAGCAGAGCCGCAGAGTGATCAAAAAATAATGCGTTGTTGCAGGTTGAGTTTGCTTAGTTTTGAAAGTAAGGCTTTTTGCAAAACCCTCCCATCTTTCACAGCTGTTACACTTCCTTAAACCTTTGAAATCTCTCTTTTTCCCTCTTTTGCTGTTTTCAGCATTCCGTCTCTTTCAGATTTCTAATAGGGTCACATCAGCCTGTCCAATATGATGAAAGATTGCCTTCAGTTTCTCATTGAGCCAGCCAAGAAGCTCAAGTTTCGTCTGAAGGTACAGTGGGTCATTTATTCATTCATTTGTTGCATCAGAGGATTTTTTTTTTCAGTAATTCAGTGAAACTCATTATATCAGGGTGTTTTTTTTTTTTCAATTACAGGCACTTTTGTTAAATATTATATAATTGTGTGTATTTGGGATAGGCTACATAAAATGCTAGCTATGAACTTCAACTATTTTTATCAAAACAAACTTAGTTGTGGCGTCATTTACACCACAACCATCAATATTTCCTGCTAATAAAGTAGTGTACTTGTTTATCAATGAGACATAATGAAATGTGAGACATGTGGAGTATGAAGAAAATAAGGAAAATTAAGATAAATATCATTTGTGAACAGAATATATTTTTGCCACTTTTGTACTGAATACAGTAATTTACAGTCAAGCCAAAATTGTCAAAACATATGAAAAAATAGTGAACATATTATTTAACTATTTAATATGAAAATATGATATACAGTAATTGTTTGTATTTAGAATAAACTTCATAAAATGTGAGGCACAACTACAGACTTTTTTGTCAGACGAGTTGACTTCTATAAAAACTAGTTTAATTGTGGCATCATTTTCATCACAACAATTTCTCCTGCTTCAAAATGAAATGTAAGATGTGGCGTGTGAAAAAAAAAAAAGGAAAATTAAGAAAAATATCTCTTGTATACTTGAATAGGCTATTTTTATTCTTTTATATTTTTATTTTGACTATAATCAATTTCAGTCAAGCTGTAACTGTTGAACTTGTGTAAAAAGTGTAAAAAATATTGTTTAATTATTTATTAAATATGAAAATATTATTTAATTGCGTATTTAGGATAAATAAAATGCTAGCTATGAAATTAGTCAGCAGTTATAATCCAGCCCATAATGTAACAATACAAAATTTGAAATGTGGTGGAGATGTTCATGACTTTAAGAAAAAAAAATTAATATAGCATTTATAAGTTTAGCTATTATATTCCTTGGTGGAGCTTTAGTTACTCCATAATTCCCAAATGTCTGTGCAGGAGACGCGGAAGAGAGTGAAACATGTAAAGAAAGAGCCATTAACAGAGAGTCAGCTGTTTATAATGGAGCTCGCGCGAGAACTCAACAGGATCTGTCAGGTAAGACAAATATATTGTTGCATTGTACCTGCTGTACCTGGCTTTTCTCGAGCTGTTTAGAATCAGGGTCAGTAAATAAATCCACTACCATCAACTACATTTCTACACACATTTGCAAACTCTGTTTATCCCTGTTGGAAGCTCTTATGCTGATGTCTTTCAGAGGTCAGATATTCTGGCTCACATCTGGGCCGGAGAGGACGTATGGCCTCCGCACGCCTGTCGAGAGTTCATTGTGGAGACCGCCAACATCCTGGAGATGAAGGTTAGAACCTGAGCTGAAATGAATCACAGGCAGCTGAATTTGCTGAATTGTACTTCAACAAATTCAACACACTTATATGTCCTGTTTAAGGTTTGTATCTTGTAAGCTGCTTCATCAAGACTAAAATAGAATTTTCTGGAAAATGATTATTCTGGGAAGAAAATTATAATAAAATATAAATGTCATTTGCTATGTGTATGTATAACAATTTATGTGTAATTCATACTGAAAAATGAAATTATTCATATTTTTATGCAAACATTGTAAAACATTCAAATCGGGGAAATTAATTTGAATTCTACTTAGTTCAGAAATGTAAAACGCATTCTCAGTTCATTTCTGAATGGTGCACAATCCTGTTCCTCAGTAAATATAGTCGCCTTCCTGTATTCATTTAGCTGCATCCTACAGGAGACACACTCTGTTTTTCAGACAGCTGTTGTTTCTCAGGATCTGCATGGCTTTAATTACAGGCTGATGTAGGTTGGTTTAGAGCCGTGTGTTATATTTAGAAAAAATCCTGCTTTAGAAACAAACTGTCACCAGTCCCCATAGTAACCAGCTAGTCTGTTTCTATCAGGCTGACTGACAGCTCCAGTAGCTTAAGGGTTTAAAATTCTGTCAGTTTTCAAAGGATCAAGCTTTAATCCTGGTTTGTTTTTAAGTTATAGTATAGTCCACAGTACTTTTGTGTCCTTGAGCTGTAGTTCGCTCCATGGTGTCCGCCTCGTGGATTTAGTGTACTTTTAAAAAAGCTTGTTGTCAGCACATTGCATCTGAGAAATCAAAGTAATTGATTTTTCAGACACGGGCTGTTTATTAAAAAGGTCACTGCATCATAAATGTCAGCTCAAGGGGCTCAAGTTATTGAGGCAATTATTTTCAGAGTTACTGATATTGAATCAAGAATACTGTATGTTGCGAAATGTAACAGTTTTGAGGGATTTAGATCATAATGTCTCTATATGTGGTTATTTATGTCATAGAGATGATACAGGCATTCAACTGGCCAGATTTAGTTTATATTCATTCCAAAGCCATGACTAGAGATTTCAATATTCAAAAGCACCATGAAAATATCATAAAAGTCCATAACTTGCATGCTAAATTCCAAGTCTTCTGTTTTTTTTTCTGATTATGCAGGAAAATATTGAGAAGCCCATGCACGTTTATGCTGATCTGCATCCAGAAAAGCGGGACTGGAAGAGTCATTTACTGAGCATGCTGGAGCAGGGTGGAGAATATGACATGGGCCCGTACAAAAGGATCATTATGGACTGGACCAGAGGACAGCGCAACAGACACCCGGTGAGGAAGATTCAGAAAATACATCTGCATATTCACCACCAAAACTAACTTCATGAGGCGCATTCTGGGATGTTTTTCAAACAGTATTGAAAATGTTCATACGTAACATGGAGAAAAAATAAAATACAATATATATATATATATATATTAGGGCTGTCAAAATGAATGCGTTAATAACGCATTAACGCAAATTAATTTTAACGGCACTAATTTTATTAACGTGCGATTAATGCAGCGCGCACTTTCAGGGTTTCCGCGGGTCCTTAAAGTCTTAAGAGGTCTTAAATTAAGTTGTATCATATTTAAGGCCATAAAAAGTCTTAAATGGTTCAAGAAAGTCTTAATTATGATTTCAAAAGGTCTTAAATTTGGGGAGGGACAGACACGAATTGCGATATGGCTTAATGTGACGATTTCATTGAATAAATATGAGCGCTGCACGTTTCAAAGTCCGGTGCTGGGCTGCTTTGTTTACAGTCGGAGAAACCGCTATATTTCTGCTGTTCCGACAGCGCCATCTGCTGGCAGAGAATGAATCTGCATTTTCAATAAGCCTGTCTGCTGTTTTTGTTCAGACCAATGCGAACATCCACCCATGTTTTTATGCAGCAAACACGCAGTTGTAAATGTGAACTGGTAGATCGATAAGAAGATAATGCATTATAAAAATCTAAACAATTAAGCCAGTAAAATATAGTTATATG